ATTCCACGCCATCTAGAATATGGCAACTTCGCAGCGACTGATATTAAATTCAGCTATTTAATTTCCGATACCTGGTGGAGGCACCAATTGTTGATCGGTGGAGAAAAGTGGAGAATCTAGGGGTTTATATAAGGAGGGAAGACGTTTACAAATTCTAATATGAATATATGAGTTGGATTACAATAAAATATTTCAGATTTGAAGTATAAATGCGTGAAAAATGAAAAGATATATTTATATGTGGAACAATTGAAAACCTTGATAGGAGGGTGATGTATCGAGAAAAAAATTAAATTTGAATAAAATGTATTTTTTTTAATTTTTTAATATTTAAAAATCATATTAAATTTAATTAATTCGAAACCAAGCCTATTACATCCTATAAAGAAGAAAAAAAAATGTAATTTAAGACATATTTAATTAATGAGGAAATGTAAGACATGTAATTATTTAAGACTATTAGAGTTTGCCGAAGACCTCGAAAAGCCTTCAATTCAAGAATAATTCGGTTATTTTATAAATTAATTTAATTTAAAGAGAAAATATCTCTTTTGAAAATTTATAACACATTTTGTAATTAATATCCCACCTTTTAGATCTTTAAGGGGTGAAAAAAAGTATTTATTAATCCAACTTTTAAAAAAATTATGAAAAAAAAAAACCCAAAAACTATGTTATATTAATAGTTTTTAAAAAAAATTAAAATAACATATTTGTAAAATAAGAATGCAAGTATTTTGGTCTTTTCCCCATATATTTTTAAGCATTTATCTTCTTAATATTTTAAAGATTTAAACACTAATATCTAAGGATATTAATATTTATTAATATTTTTCTTCACTGACTACACTATATATAATAATTTGTTAAATATGATTCTATAATTGTTTGGTTGCAAAAAATAACAAGATAATAATAATAATGATAGTGTTGCCAAACAGGTCTAAGCTTATATAGAAATCTCTTAATTTGTGGGAATAATGTGGATGCTATCCCTGAAGAATATCGAAATTGTAGAGAAAATGATGAGTAGAGGCATCGTCGACAGGACTAAAGAAGAGGTAGATGTGAGATCCATCTTTCACTCCACAGTCGGAGAGAGACGCTCCATCGTCGGAGAGAGACGCTCCATCCTCTTCGTCTCCTCCGTTCATCGGACTCTGATTGGTGTCCAAAATCAGGATTAGGCGATCATGAGGTAGATTCTGCTGAGATCCAATCTCTCGCTTGAGATCTCCAATGGTGGCATCGCTGCCTACGTGAACGTAGAAGAGAGTTCCCGTTAAAATCTCCACTACCAGTCTCATTGTCAAGATCATAGGCTAGTGTCCTTTTACATTCAGTAGCTGCATATATAATTAGGAAAATGGGATGGGGAGGAAGAAATGCATGTTTTACCAGCCTAGGGAGGTGTTCACGTTAGCTGCATTCTCGGTAGTTAGTTTTCTAGCATGCCTTTGTGATGCGTACCTTGTGATTATGGTAGAGCTTTTATAATTTATATATCTTGCATGCCTATGATGCAATTTACAGTATATCCAATATATCTCGTTATGTATGTCCAATTCTTATGAATACGATTAAGATCAAGATATTTATGAATTAATTATAATCATGATAATGGATGTTTCAGTATAGAAATTTAATGCTATTGATTAATAGTTTAAACTAAAAGAATGAATAAGAATATTTGATTATAAACCATTATTAGCCAAGATAGCCATATTTTAACTACTAATCCAAATATTCCCCAAGTAGGGATGCACGTGAGACCTAAACCAATGTAGTGCTCAAGTTGGGACAAAGCTTGAATTGGAACTCAGTTACTAGAAAAAGAGTTAACAATTATTGGTACTAAAGTTTAAAGCGAAATTGAACTAATAAAATAAATAAAAAAATACTTAATTATAAACAATTATTAGTCGAGATAGCCACATTTTGACTACTAATCCAAACATTCGCCATGTAGCTAGTATTCAAGTTAGGACAAAGCTTGAATTTGAATTCAGTTACTGAAAGAGTAACAATTATTGGTACTAAAGTTTAAAGTGAAATTGTTTCAATCATTGATTGTGTTTCAACAAGGGGCACCCTCCATAATCAATGTTTACCATAAATTCATCTTAGGATTTAATCCTAAATCACATTCCACTTGAGAAGTAGGTTCAAATCTTAAGTTCAAACTTCAAAGATTTAACCCTAAGGATTTGAAAAATGAGAAGACCATCCCTATTCTAAAACCCACCTGGTGTAGTGTTCTTAAGGGACATCCTAATAATTAAATTCTCTTTATGTTAAAAATTTTAAAATTCGAATCTTGAAATAGGTAAGGAGAATGACAAATCATCCAAAAAATCCCTTCAACTTAACTGTCAGTGGCAGATTAGCCCTAAACCAAATTCAGAAGCATATCACACCTTACACTCTTCGATAGTAGCAAATGAGCCCTTGTTTGACGATTGACGTTATTGTTCTATCAAAAACTAATGGAGCCTTCATTTAGTGGGTTCTGAAGCTGAGCTGACAATTACATGGCAAGTGGGATCCATTTCAAAATAAATGAAAAGTAAAAATATAATGTACTTCCTAAATTCAACTACACATTATTTTAAATTTACAAAATATGTCACTTTAGTATTTATTATTTTTTTATTTACTATTAAAATGTCACTTAATCAATTTTTACGTATCTAAATATTAATTCCTTTCTAAATAATCTTAAATACCCTTAGATTGATCTAATATATCTAAGGAAATTAAATTTTTTAGATGTTGGTTTTAAAACTTAAACCGTGAATTTAACTTATAAGAAAACACTTATTTATTAATAGATTCAACTTTTAAAGTTTTTAGTATTCATAGTTTATTTAAATCAAATTTTACTAAAAAAGAATCATATTATTATGACCTATCAATCTAGGCATTGGGAAACAAAAAAAAAAAAAACATTAACAATAGAACTATCGAGAAAAATTAGATTAAAAAATGTGCAAATATATTCATTACCTAAGTAAATTAACAATAGAACCATCAAGAAAATTTTAACTTAATTTAGCTCACTACAAGAAATGGAATTTTTAGTGACAAAAAATTGTGACGAATGTTAAAATCAACACTATAACTCATTATATTTGTGACATAATTTAAAATTAATTACAAATGCAAGTATATTCAATAATGATAAAAAATTTCATCATTAAAAAGATATTTCATCACTGAAAAATGGTCACAAAGATATTTTTGTTTATATTTAAGCGCTTAAATATACATGATTTCTCCTTTTATGGTTAGTCTAATTCTAGAACCTAAGCAATACAAAATAAAATGAACACAATTTTGATTCAAACCACACTGATAATTATCAATGATAAGCTCCAAATCTCCATGTATAGCATAAAATTCTCCTCTCCTCCATAACTCTATATTCAGACAAACAAGAAAATTCAGTATGAATGACAAATAAGGAAGAACAAAGAATAAAAAAATAAGGAACAATTTTTGGATACAAAATGAAGAATAAAGATAGAAAACTAAGTTTGAATTTAATTTATCGCTCACAATCCCCATAAATAGAGAGAATTACCAAAAATAAGTTGTAATTTTTTAATGAAATTTGATGACATTAACACTAGTTAAAGGAAGTTTGTAAAACACTCTAATTATTGGTTGCAATTGCAGACAAAAAAGAAAAAAGAAAGAAAGAAAAAGTTCTGGCTTTGCGTGATTAGAAGAACCTAAAATTCTTATTTTTAAATTGTTCTTCATAAAATGTTTTAATATTAATACGTTTGGTGACATAAGGCCCACATTATTTCCAACTCAGCAGCAAGTAAAGTGAAACAAGAGCACCGTTAGTTTTTTGACAGAACACTGATGTCAACCTTTAAACAGGGGCCCACTTACCACTGTCGAAGAGTATAAGGGGTGGTATGCTTCAAATTTGGTATAGGGGCTAATCTGCCGGTGATAGTCAAGTTCAAGGGGTGCATGATTCGCCTAAGGAGAAGTTTAGAAATGAGAGGGTTATTCTTTATTGTATTGC